CCCTACAAGTACAATTTCTTCAAAAGCTTAAATACAGACAAGCCCTTTAGAAAGTCAAATTTAAAAGCTTTAATGTTGCACGAGAAACTATTAAAAGACACGGTTTTGTCTATTTCTGTATGAAGTACCACACAATGCTTTGAACATCGGCAGCTGTTCCAAACAAGCATTCAGAGCACAATAAAAGGCCCATTGTCTTTCTCTGTTTGCTGGTGACCTGTATGCTCCTTCTAGCTATACTGTTGCTACTATCATCTGACTTGACAGAGATGTATAATACTGCATTGATTATGCTTCCAGTGAGACATAATACACAATTTTCAGCTATCGACAAAAAAAAAAAAAAGAAAAAATAGTCAGTGTACCTTAGGATGAAATAAAAATTGTAAATTAAGTTTTTTAAAATATTATTGCCAGAGACAGAATTCACATCAGCATACAGCCATTTTTTTGAAATAATTATCTTTCCATAGTTTTAAAATAAGTCATTAAAATACTGAATCCTGTGTAAAGAAAAGTTTGCTGTGAAAAGTGTGAATGTTTTTACTGATCAGGCCATCAGATTTTTTATTTCAAAGCTATTTAAAAGTTACTCTTATGATGAAGACCAAGGATATTTATGGTATACAACTTGCTGTTCAGTTATGGTGGGGAATGATCAATTGGCATTGACGTCTTTGGTACCCTGATTATTCCCCACTAACCACAGCTTTTAAGTCCACTATCTGAATTTGACAACACATGACATAGCAAAAGATTAACTGTAACAAAAAAAAAAGAATTAGTGGAAATGTAGAAAAATCAGATTGGCAACTTCAGTTACCAGTACTTCAATATGAGCTTCAGTTCTGTCTGGCCTGACAGCTGCCTTGGCAGACACCTGAACAAATGAGCGCACAGTTATTCACAGCATGTGCTGACTCTCGCCCAGCCATTACTTGCAGGACATGCAGAAAAAAGTGCAAGGCAGCAGTAAAAGGCATATAAACCTGCACAAAGCCAGGCTTTAAGAGACCAGTTGCTCTACTAACATGGAGCTTTCTTTTTAGTTTTCCACTACAAACTTACAAGTTCTGAAAATTGCTTCCATTTTTTCACAAGAAGCAAAAAATCTGAGCAGTATATGCTTTGAGAAATTCAAATTTTGATGTTCCATGGAGTACATATTTCAAAACACTGCTCTTACTACCCCATATGTAAATCAGACTTGCATAGCTGATTCAGAAAATGCTGCTGCCCAAGCTTCATGATTTTCCTTAAGCTCCATTTTAACAGAATTACTCATTCCTTTGCTTTTACAGTTAACACATGAAGAAGCATCCTACCTCACCACAAAGTTACACAACATTACTCTTCAACTACCAGGCCTAAAAATTCTATGGCTTCCTTACATCCTTCTACATTGCACCATCTTCTTGGTAATACTCTGGTTCAGCCATTTAATAATCAATATTGTTTTGCAACAGCAGCACAAATAAACCTCTGCTCAAAGGACTCCTCCTTTTGATAACCAAAGCTCTATTAAATAAAATGCTCTGCTTACAGGAGAAGAGTCTGGCAAGCTAGAGCCAAGAATAAACATTCAAGTTATGTGGAAGCCCCTAGAAACAGTGGACCATATCCAACAATCCATAATCATTGTTCACTGTCCCTGAAAAGTGTAATTAGTCCATGTCCCACTGGTTCACCAATGCAGCAAGAAAAAAAAAGAGACAGCATTGAAGTCAGAATGATTAAGCATATGCAGCATTTGAAGGTCTAGTTTTGTTGAAGGGTTGACAGAAGCAAGACTTTGAAGTTTTGTCTGCCTCTACTACACAGTGGGAACTGCAAAGTAAGGAGACAAAGCAAAGTTTTACCTTGTCAGGTATCAGTAAGTGAATAAAACAAAATTCTGCAGTTAAATTCATGAAATTATAGAAGTTCATGAGAATCCTTTTACAAGTGGTTTGGGAAGAACAGTACCTGCTCT